CGAATATGGCACTCATTTCTAAATCCAAGATGGCGGACACGAGTTTTCAAATAAATGCAATATGGGTATCATTTTCGAGGTATTTGGGGATGCTCAAAGTGAATATGGCACTATTTGTAAATCCAAGATGGCGGGCACGATTTTTCAAATAATGGCAAGTTGGGTATCGTTTTCGAGGTATTTGGGGGTGCTCATTACGAATATTGCTTTTGTTTGAACTGTCGTGTTTGCCATCTTGGATTTAGAAATGAGTGCCATATTTGTATTGAACATTCCCAAACATTTTGAAAACGATACCCAACTTGCCATTATTCGAAAAATCGCGCCCGCATCTTGGATTTAGAAATAAGTGCCATATTCGAAACCTAAAACCGAAAATGCCATAAGCAAACATTAAAGAAAATAACTGTTAAAATAGATTAAAAAATCGCTTAAGAATGCTCCCCTTTTAAGAAAATAAAATATTTTAATATAAAATATTTCGCTTGAGTTACGAAAAGAAAGACATATAATAAGCTATCAAAGTTGTACTGGTGGTGCCAACACTATAGTAGAAACAAATATATAAGTACTGTAAATTTGTTGCAATATGTGCTCCAATTGAAATAAAATTAAAATAAATAATTATTCAATAAAGCATGAACGCAGAGCCGTTAAAAGTATTATAAAATAATTAAGTGTCCCAATCACTTACAGGAGTTAACGAAAACATTTAATGTTTATTAAAGTAAATATTAGTTCAAGATGCGCAAATAAATCTAAATTACAGGCACCACTAAAATTTACGTAATATAATTATTTTGATACAGAATAGCAAAATGGGGAGAAAAAAAATTCGTTACTTTGCAACACTTTCGTATCTTGTTGCCGCGAAATTATTTTTCTGTTTTAGTGAATATTTTCATAAAAATATGAGTTGAAACGCATTACTTACTTGTGGAATGCGATGTTAGTGTCTATTTTATGTTTGTCTGTTGTATTTTTACACCCATTTACCGCACATTTCGTCATTTTTAGCAAAAAATTTTGGAGCTGTTCGCGGTGCAATATGACCTTGAGCACTAATAGCCCGCGCGCTCCTGGGACGCGTTTGGAACCCTCTAACTTGCCTCACTTAGCGTGTGCGGGCTAGGTTTCTATGCGTTATTATTCTAAGGTATTTAATTAATAACTATTGTAACTATAGTGAAAAAATAGGGTGGTTTGCATCAATATTAGACATAACTGGTTGCAGATTGTACCACCTCAGTCAACCGTGACCATGGGACCTGTAAAGGGCCCGAAACGTCGGTTTGTTTGAAAAAACAAATATACGCGATTTAAATCCGGAAAAATATTTTCCTACGTTTCCTAGATATTTCTTTATTTGGAAAACCGTATAAATATTTTGATAAACAAATTCAAAACTCACGAAAAGTTAAACGGACCAACCTTTCATATTTCGATGATTGTTTCAAGATATTTAGCTCATTCTTTCAGAATTTTCGAAGTACAGTCGTGGCGAGAGAAACAGCGGTTCACAAGAGAGCGTGTAAGAGACGAGATAAGAGCTTTAAAAGAGGAGAAATACGCCACAGAGCTATACTTGGAGTCTCTGCAGATACCCTTGATGGTTTCTTCGCAGTGCCTGTCTAACAGGGACCAGAGGGTGCCCCCAGAATTGACTAGAGATCAGCTTGGGGAAGAACTGAACAAGGTAAGTATCCGTATCGTAATTAGGTGTCCAATTCTCATTTTAGCATTTAATAAAAATTTGCTCTAATTCAAGTGATAATAGGTGTGTGGTAATATCTCTCTCTATCGGTGTTTGATAATATTTTGCGGTCAAAATTTATTTTTCGCCTTTTTTCAATATGGCTGCCACACAAACTTTTTAGCGGCATATAAAAATTTGCTCTAACTCCATTGACTTACAAATAAATGGACGACGGGTCTAATACAAAAACCACGAAAAAATGTCCCAAGTCAATCTATTTAAACGTAGTGACATGTAAAGGAATATGAAAAAGATAAAACGTTGAATTTAAATTGTAATGTCATCGCAGTACTGTCTAATTTTGCTTGCTTCGCTGTCAGTCGAACAAACGAAGACTAAAGCGTGAACGACGCTCTGTACACGATTTTAATATATATATATATATATATTAAATAGCCCTATAAGTTCGGACACTTTTTAGCGCGGACCCGACGTCCATATAATTGTAAGTCAATGTCTAACTCGATTGAAAATGGACATGTCGGGGTCTCTATGGGCGTTTAATATAATTAGCGGTCACAATTTGTTTTTCGCCATTTTTCAATATTGCTGCCGTACAAACTTTTTTGGCGCTTATAGTACTAATTGCTGTGCCATCGAAGAGCATGAGCACACCCCGTAAAAACTGAACCCAACCACGCGCCGCACGCCGAGCCCGATCCCACCGTAGGTGGGGTACAGGGCTCGTAATATAAGTATGTTAACCAATAAGTTTCTATAAAAAAACCACCTCAAAGGAATCACATCTATTTGCCAAGTTTTATTGAAATCGATTACTGGAAAGTGTGCGAAACCGGATTCATCCCCTAGTTTCCCACCCTTAGGGCGCGTTTATACGACACGAATTTCTACGCTCTCACCCCGCGCGGTCGAAAAGCGGAGTCTGCGGCGGCCGCCGAGCAGCGACCGCGTGCACGTGTTCAGAGATCGAACTGTCATGGCAAAATACGCTGTATTTATTTAGCTTTTAGCTGGAAGGCACTAGCTTGACTTTTGTCTACGAGGTCGCCGAGCGGACTCCGCTCTTCGACCGCCGTGGACTCTGCTCTTCGACCGCGTGGCGGCCGCGCGAAAACTTTCTCCTCGTGTGTCTGGGTGCTTAGAGGTGATATATTTTCTTAAAATCTAAATGGGATCAATAATGAGGTGCCCTCTTTCCAACAAAAAAACAATCATCAAAATCGGTTCTCAAATGCGGAGTTATCGCGTTACGCATGTTATGCGATCCGGCAAATAACTAATAATAGCTAAGTTTTTTAATGTATGTACAAAACGAAAAAGAATACAATCGAATTGAGAAACTCCTCCTCTTTTTAAAGTCGGTTAAAAAGAGAATTAAGTATCTGTTTTGGCATGGTGCATTCGACTTGGTTTCTTTTTTACAAATATGTGTTTATCTAACCAGGAAGTTTTCAACTTAAAAGTTTTCAGTTTATCCAAATAAATACATTCCTGTAACATCAAAACAAGGGTATAATAAATCATTGCAGGAACTTCACATAATCGAAAACAGCAAACGAAACTTGATGGACGTGTGCCACATGGGCTGGGATAAGCTGAAAGAACTAACCAACGTTTTCTGTCGCTTGGAACGCGAGATACAGAACAAAGATGAAACTCTGACGCTGGAGTACAACGTCAAAGACTTAAACAGGGACAGCTCTGATATATCTTTTAAGTTAGATCCTACTAGGATTCCTGCTAAGTAAGTTTAAACCAAAATTAATTTCTTTATAGAGCGTGATTTTCTAACAAAGTTACTATAATAGGTATTCTACCATCCAAGTGCTTTATACAATCAGCACACTAAGTTTAATGCCAATAATGGACCAAAATCCACAGTTAAGGGTGCTGTTAACATTACCTTCCACACTTCAATATATCAACACAACATCAAATATTTAAACTATGTAGATCAGAGCTCCTTACCACCATAAATCGAGTTACGTCAGTACAGTGACGTCAATAAATAAAGTAATAAACGCGTTGGTTAATCAAGGATGAAATGTGGTTGGTTTGTTTGGTTTTAAGAAGCTATTTCCTACGAGTTTCAAATAAGGGGTAAAGATAGCAGCAACAATACTGTCGAATGACCGTGACGTTAACGAATAAACAATAAAAATATACAAGAATATGAAATCCCAGATGCATGTACCTAGTGTATACTGCTACAAAAGTGGTAGCTAGGTTTGTCTATGTTTATATACGCGAAAACTACATTTTATTCCATTTAATAGGCCTTTTTAGACAAAAGCGATCCATCGCCGGTCATGTCGTCGCTTAACAGAAACTGGGATGTTGCCAAACATGCGTCTATTTTTTTAATAATATTTATAGGTACTTTCATATGACGCTATAATAAAAGATCTAAACGTTTACAAGCTTAGGCTTCAAAATCTGACAATACAATATTTAGTTCCATGTCCGAAGAAGCGTACGTAAAATGCATCGAGAACACAATCAACATCGCTGACCAACTTATGTCAGAATCCAGAATGTTACGCGAGACAATGTTTAAAGCAAGAGAATTGGCAAAAAACCAAATGCATGCGCAGTGCCAGTACGTTGAGATGATGTTGAGGAGACGCGTGTATGACATACAGAGAGCGAGGAATGAGATGGAGTGGCAGAAACGTAAGGTAAGTACCTAGCAAGCTACTAAAGCAGTCTTGGGGTTGCCGGGTATGACAACGGTTGAAAGAGTTCTCATGCTATATAACGTAGGTATTAAATGCTTTTATGTTTCAGTTGGAACTAAATCTACACAACTTGGACAGAGAGATCGAAGCTCTAAGAGCCGCCGTTGCTGACAAGATAAACCCTACGAAATTGGTAGAGACCAGACTCGAAATGAGAAATAGAAGACCTGTTCTTGAATTAGTTCAGGTAATCAAAACATTCAGGGAAATCAATATAACAGATGTTGTAAACTAACTAATTTGTACTTTGCTTTTAGGATAAGCCTATGAGAGGCCTCATAGAAGAATTCGAAAGAGTGCATTTGAGTAGTTCGAAATTGGAGAAAAAGTTGGAAGATGCACTGTAAGTTATTTTTTACAATCGTTAGTTTGAATTTTGCAAAGCATTCGACACGGTTGATCAAGCCGACCTTCACAAAGAAATACGTGTTCTAGTTTTTAGTATTCTCGGAAATAACATTTATAATTCAATTAGCTTGCCATTATTTCTATACAATCTTGGCTCATTTTACATAAAATTTCCTTATTGAATAGGAGTACATCATGGTACGATTGGCCTTCATATCGGACCCTAATATTAGACCCAATGGTCTAATTATCTACAGCGCATAATAATGTTCGCTATTGTCTACAGGACTACATATCACGGAATGTATAACCATCATCAACGTGTAACAAAAGACTTGGAATACAAGAATCAAGCTCTGGAAACAGATAGAAGGCTGATTGAGATAAGAAAGCCTTTACATGGACCTGATGACACTGAATTTAAGAGAAACGTTGGATATTGTCGTTTGAGTGACGAGTTGGTGACTGATTAAGACCTAGTTGCCCAAAACTCCTTTTATGTTTAAAACTCCATTGAGTACCGTATCTGTTACATTGATGATGTAAAGGACAACACTAGAATTAAATAAATTATATTTAAACAGCGTTTGCGCATAGCCTAAGATTGAATTACAATAAATCTACCGAAAAATGTTGCACTATCTTGTACTTTACAATGACATATCGAACGTTCTATAAAAGCAGATTCAAAAATTGTTAGTTTATACATGTAATTAAAAACCTTTCAATTAAGGGAATTATAGTCCACCAGTAAAGTGTTCACTACAACGTAATATTCAAAAATGTTTAGGTAGAAATAGATGTGAGGTGATTGCATATCTTCTACCATATGTGAAGCAATAAATATTTTTTTACACGCACACGCTAAGTGAGGCAAATTGAAGCGCTCCCAAAGGGCCTACACGAGCGGGCGGGCCTTCAGTGCTCAAGGTCAACTTGCACCGCGAACAGCGCAAGAATTTTAGCTAAAAATGACGAAATGTGCGGTAAATGAGTGTAAAAATACGTCAGAGAAACATAAAATAGATACTAACATCACATTCCACAAGGAAGTAACGCGTTTCAACTTGTATTTTTATATAAATATTCACTAAAACCGAAAATTAACCTACTATTAAAACTAGCCTACATGAATTTGATTTTTGCCTCACTTGTGACAGTTCGTTTGATTGAAACTATCATTCTATGCGTTATTATTCTAAGGCCGCTAGATTCAAAAACTATAAATCTATGTAGTACGATAAGAATAAAAAAAAAAACATTATTTTCGATAATGGTAATAATTTATTGAAATGTAACAATAGAAGCACAGTGCAATGCCGTTTGATTATTATTATAAAAATAAATGACGTAGTTATCTTACTTAATAATTAATAAACAACATCAAACTTAAATGCATTAATAATTCCTTGGTGCTTTCGTTAAAACAATAGGCCATTCCACAGACATTATGTCTGTGGGCCATTCAAAGCCTAAAAATACTTACAATACTATAGTCTCGATTCTGTCGTACACTAAAACTAAATTGAATTGTGAGGGCTTAGAAGTCACATTCTGAGGAATGAATGAATGTATTCCTCACAGCAAAAGTTATTACAGCTAGTCGAGGCAATGCGGGTTGGGAAACTTCACATATCTTTAGGCTGTCATCATAATCATTCGTGGTTATTCGGCAATTAATTTATACGTCAATCACCGGAAAAAGTTTTTAGAATGTACTAAAAACTTACAATTATATGGACGTCGGGTCCGCGCTAAAAAGTGTCCGCACTTGTAAGGCGCTAAAATCGTATACAGAGCGCCAAACTCCGCTTTAGTCTTCATTTGTTCGACTGACAGCGCGATACTGCGTTGACATTACAATTTAAATTTCGAATAGGTTGACTTAGGACATTTTTTTCGTGGTTTTTGTATTAGACCCGTCGTCCATTTCTTTGTAAGTCAATGACTAAAAATGTATTTATTTACATTTATTTAATGCAAGGAAAAATATCCCTTAAAATTCCGCTATAAGGTACCGTTCGATACATAGTTGAAATGTCAACTGAGTTAAGAGACATTTGGTTGATTTTCAAGACAACAAAAAACTTTTTTTTTAAATTATATTTCTAATTTACCAAATCTATGTTCTAATTCATTAAATTTTCTACCTACTGCTATGGACTCTTTGATTATTTGACCTTAGCAGTGGGTAAAAAATTGAACAAGTTATAAATATTTTTTTTTATATAAAATTTTTTTTTACCATGTCCTGAAAACCAACCAAATGTCACTTACGTCATTGGACATTGAAACCATCGATAGTAATATGTTAGTGTATACTATTGTATACATATTGTACCAAATTAGATTTTATGTGATCAATATCAAAATTTATATTATAATAAACCATAGATCGACCCACTTATCTATGACTCTCCTAAAGAATTGTTTAGGTAACTCATTGACTTAACCCCGTATTTTCAAATTCTGAAGAGTTATACAGTTGTAACCTGAATTAATTTTTAGTTCAAGTACCTATATTTTTGTCTATACTAATCTGGGCCGTAGTGTAAAGATAAAATGCGTTCCCAAATAAAGTTACTATGTAAGAAAAGTCCGATAAATATATAAAACACAGAAATATTGAGAAAATATAAAAAAAACACATTCATGGCTTTCTAGATTTTGCGATAGGCCACTATCGCAAAATCCCTAAATCATCGAAACGATGGTTTAAAAACAACTGCAAAATATCTAAAACGCAAAGCAGACGAATTGTACACAGACTCATATTCTCACGTGATTTTAAACAATAAAAAGCGCGGTGTCTTTTTCACAATGAAATTGAGCTCATTCTAAGTGCATCTGTGTAATAAGACAAAATGAACAATTTTGATTTAGGCCATTATTTTTGAAACGCGGTGACATTAAGTACATGTGACTTGAAAATACAAGAGAAATTAATTTTATACAAACATCATTACATTACACACAATATTATCCTTAAGAAAAAATAGAGAGAAGAAATGCTGCCCTCCTTGTCATATCATATCAAACGCTTTTGTATTGTGTAAATAAGTATATTAATTAAGTAAAAATTATCAGCAAATTATGAACAGTAAGTAGATCTTGTTACTTTACAATGATGTGTGAACTTAAGTAGGATTGCAATCTGGTACAGGTCTTTGTAATATCATATTTAACTCTTATCAATGTAATTTGTCGTCTATTTTGTTGTTCATATAATAAATAAATCTGCAAAATGTCAATAACGCTGATTTTGATTAACAATAAAACTGAAACTAAATAAGATATAAAAACACCGATTAGAAGTGCAGGCAGGGGAAGTTAATAACACAATTTCACTAAATATGTCGATTAGGTTAGTTATGACAAGGAGACCAGAAATGTGTAAGATAATAAGGACAGTAGGTACTACATTATTGTCGTAAAATATTAAAATGATTTTTTTTTATCTTTGGCATGTATATAAGTTTTTCCTTCCTTTTATTATTTGAAATTAAAAGTCTTGTTTAGTCGTTGTTTCTGTACACAAATTATGTATTATGTGAAGCACAGCAAGCTTGACACAGACCGCATCAAATTTTAAGCTTTTGATATAATACAAAGATCGAAAACTTAGAAAAAAATTCTTTCGATCCGGCTGGATTCGAACCAACGTCTAGCAAATCGTGTCAGACGCTATGCGAACTAAGCCACGGAACGACCCAGCGGACCCTACAAATTTTTCTATGTGCTTATTGCAGAGCCTTGTTTCGGTTTTTTAATGCCTTTTTGCACACCTAAACTTTTGCTCAAGACACCTTCCCTATTGCAACGGAACAAGAACGCTTGTCAAGCTTTTTGTGCTTTTTGGCACATCTATGAAAATCACTTAATGAAAACTTAACATTAGTTTTGAAATTAAAATTGCCTTAAAAAAACAATCTAAATAATCTCAGTACAGAGTACTAAAACAACCGACCTCAAAAGTACGTGGAATTACATCTATTTGCCAAGTTTTATTGGAATATCCCCTAGTTCGCCACTATACAGGACTTGACATATAGGATAGGATATCTCCTGATAAAAATCCGTTCTCACTACGCAAAGTATATTGAGAGAGAATCGCCTTGAATTCGAAAATAGCAAAACCAACCATTAAAATAATTGCCCCTTAAGTAAAATTTAGGCGCTATTTATGAAAATGAATGTTCATGCGTGATCAGCCCCCTTAGAGGTGGATGATTTTCTCCAAAATGAAATGGGACCACAAATACTAGAGTTATCGCGTAACATATTGAACGCGTAACGAATTGAGAACCTCCTCCTTTTTTTGAAGTCGGTTAAAAATGAGACTATTTTTCGGATCTAAATCGCGTATCGTCGTCTTAGAGTGAAAACGTCGTAAGTAATTTCTATGTAATTTTTCATTTTGAAGATAAAAATGTTGTGTAAAATGTAGTAAACGCAATACCGTTTGTAATTAGCTTTTTAATTAGTTAAATTATACCTCTTTCAGATACTATATTACTTTATTTATATATTTGAACAAGAACTTCATAAGTTTTTCTACATCAAAAATCAGTAAAAACGACGGTATATTTTTTTTTTAAACAAACGAACGTTTCTGGCTACTTACATACTGACTGGCATTTAAATAAATAGTTTCATTTCCTATGATATTACGATAACAATCTCGAAAATTATTACTTTAGTGTACAACCGTGCGCACTTCACCACCTATTTAAGGTAAATCTTTATTAACAGCGATATTTCCTAGACTACGTCATCCGCTAGCAGTTTTCTAGGTCACATTTTATTATCCTACTAACTTATTCAGTAACAATAATAAAATAATACATTTATAGCATACTGTAGTTTCATATTACATAAATACTTGTTTTGGTTAAGTGTAATAAACAGTAATCTCTACTACCAAACTGTAATTGCTGCTTACTTATAAAATTAACACTGGAAAGTTGCTGAATAAAAGTTGCATAATATTGAGGCAGAACAATGTTCACTGTTGATTACGAAACAAAATACATATGATTTTACGGCGAAGAAAGGGTGTAAAAACTAATCTACAATGTTTAACATGACAAGTGAAAAAAACCATCTGGATATATTGTAAACAAAAAAATGAAAATAAACCCATTCAATTAAGTTTGACAAACCCTAGGTCCTTGCAAAACAAATACGTTTTGTACACAAGAGAGAGACCGTTGAAATTTAAAAAAAATCTTAATTTTAACAGGGAACATGGTTTCTCCGTACCGCCAGTTTGAGATCCAGTATTTTCTTTAATGAAAAATCCTCAGCAAACATAAGGCTGCAGTACTACGCATTAATATGTTTAATTTTATTTCTAATTTTTCTTTTATTAAATAAATTTTTAAAAAATATTAAAAAAACATATTGATAAAAACAATACATTTGCAAATCAGTTCACAAATACTTACATCACTAACTTTTATTTTTAATTTTAATTGACGTAGCCCTTCTTCCCCGAATTAAGTGTACTATTTGTGACTTCGACAATGAAATTATAAACGATATAAAAATAAAACATGAAAAATTAAACGACTACATTATTCGAGTAGTTAACTGCGATATTATTTAAATGCCAGTGACGAAGGGAAACGAAGATATGAAGATACACGTAGCATTTCTCGTATAACACCTATTACTAATTTGGAGCCCTTACCCTTCGCCACTGTTAAATGCACATTTCAATATACAATTTGCAAGGTGGTGAACGTTTGAGCCAATATTTTGTTAGTTCATAAATGCCAAAATACCGTTCTCACTTTAGAACAAATGGCAACATCATATTTGGTAAACAATAACGTCACGTACACATAATTTCGAACTACCTTATATTTTTATTCTTAAATGGCTAGGATACAAAAATTACTATGTATATATATTATATATATGAAGACAAAAGTTTCGAAAGGTTATTTTTGATATGTAAGTGACGGGACCGTGAAACTTAAGTTGACAAGTCCATGTGCCTGTAATTTCACCAGCACCCTTAACCCTTTAAAACAAGGATGCATTAATGCTCACGTTACTGCTTGGCGGCAGAAATAGGTAAGGTGGTAGTGCTTCCATGAACAAACTCTTTCAAGCTCTATTAAAATGGATGGATGAGGTTTGGTAATATATACCTGTTTCAAATATTGCATAAATAGTTTTTGATCAATCAAACATTGTTAGAGATTGTTTGCGAAATAACTCCAGTGGTTTTGTTATGATTATTAATTAATGACCTGTGACCTGTGGCTCAGTTGGTAAGAGCAATGCTACGGTGCAGCATGGTCGTGAGTTCAAGTCCCATCGGGTCGAAGAACAAAAAATTCTGTGTGTTCGATATTGTCAGTCAAACATTGTTCAAAACTTAGGGTGTTTAATAGTGAAAATGCGAGGTGGCTCGAATTATGTGTACGAGAGTGTACATTATAAAATACTTTTTAACATCATGTTTGAGAAAATATAATAATATACCATAAGGCATATTTTTTACTAAACGTATGTCACGGTATTGTTTTAATACAAAAAATTTATTATTTATAGTCCCAACTTTAGTTTTTACTTAATTAGTAAAATGCAACTATGAATTTTTCAGGCCCTTATTAATCATTAAACAATGTGACAAACAATCACACCAATTATCAGGGAGTCTACTCCATTTTCTGTCTGAATGTTTCAAGTAGAAATAAGTAACTTATACAATATTTTCGTATGAATTCATGACCGTGAAATACAACTTAAGAAATATATATATGACGTAGATTCGGGCAAATGCAAAACTAACTTAATTGGAGCTACGACACTTACAAAATGTCATAGCTCTATCGATACTATCCATTATTCCGTCAAGGTTGAGGAAGACACGCGTTTATTACTCACAATTTGACCTGCAATTTCCGATGGTAGATTTCTTCTTTTCTTTTTGTTTAATGGAGTTTAGATTTCGCCAGTATCAAGCTTTCCGCTTAGTAATTTTAAGGGCTTCTGTACTCTGCTATTCAGTGAGTATTGTGAGAGCACAATGTGATATAAAAAATACTTTCTTATTAGAATGATAGATTTTTAATCAGAAGAGAAGAAGAAGTTCGTTATTTATTTACTCGTAACAAAACGTCAACTATGGTGGAGTATTTTTTTCAAGTTAGTGTTCTCTAATTTAGATGGCAAATTTTTATTATTTAAGTATTTATTTTATTTAGTCAAGGCTTGTTACCATAATTCGAAAAATTAAGCAGAAACTAGTGCATTGTTTTAAAAACATACATAAAAAATACAGTAATCAATTCATTATTAAAGTGTGTATTTAAATGAAATGCCTTCCGCTCATGATTTTGGGTAGTGATTTTGATTTTAATAAAAACTCGGGTGGGTAGATTGGGTTTTAATCCACTGCCCATCTCTGCACCTGGCGACAGATCCGCGGTACTGTTATTAATCAATTTCTGGCTTTATGTTAATCAATCGGAAATTCGCAACTAGCGTTAAAGAGGCGGATCTCAAATAGATAACTACGTGTATGAAAATTCAAATTGCATACATTTGTCAGGTACGCGGAATTATTCAATGGTACGCGTAATGCACTATCCCTGACGATATCTAAGAGTGACAGCAGTCGCGCTTGCATCGCTGCATAAAATCGCGCGCGTGTGTAACCGCTGTAATCTATGATGAAACAATCTGTCCTTGTCTTATTTCAACTTAAAGACAGATCCACTGAACTCTTAAGTTTAGTTTTGATTTGCCGGAATCAGATTCTTTAATATAAAAAGAAACAAAAATACTTATATGTTTTCCTTATGCGACTTAGGCTCAATTTACATGGAAGCGAATTTCTGTAACCATGGCATAATGAATTCTATGTCAAATTGTATAACGTACAAACTACGACCTACCGCATAACTGAGTCGGTTCCTGAGGTAGCCGCGCGGTGCGGGAGGAGTGATAGTTTACGTCACAGTTATATCGCGCTGCACACAGGGTAATTTCAACAAGATTTTTCTGACGATATTCAATAAAAAGTTCAATGAAAAAAGTGTCTACCAAATTAGTCAATTGTACTTTATTAAAACTATAATTTAAAAAAAACTATTTCATTGATAATTGAAGTTAATGGACAAGCCATTTGACACCTTTTTCAATCAACCTGTTTTTGAATATCGTCAGAAAAATCTTACATTTTTTGAAATATTACCAAGGGACGAATAACGCGGGTCTGGGGGTAAGCGACACGCCAGTTCATAACAGTTGCAGTGCCACTCAGAGCTTTAAACCGCAAAGATCGAGGGGCACTGCCACTGCGCCAGTCACCCTAGGATACATGTTCACAAGTCCCATGTGCCTGTAATTTCACTAGCACCCCTACCCTTCAAAACCAGAACGCCATAATGCTCACATTACTGCTTGGCGGCAGAAATAGGTTAGGTGGAAGGTTTTCCCTGGACGAACTCTTTCACAAGGAGCTCTACTGCTACTAACTTATTTACGAGTACATTGATAAATAAGTTAGTAGAGCGACTAACTGTTACATAAACTGTCCCTCCTCCCGCACCGCGCAGCTACCTCAGGAACCGACTCAGTTAAGCGGTAGGTAGGCTCATACGAACTACATATGTCGAGTACGATGAAAGTAATGTCAAAATTCGATACGAAGGCTGTCATTGACATTTCGGAGTAAGGATAAGTCCTTACTCCGAAATGTCAAGACATAAGTGTCAAATCATTTTCGTACGTGTTTCGTGCTAACCTCCGATCCGATATGAAGCTAAAACGACGGTCGTTGCTTCGTATTCCGTGGTAGTCCTCCAGGTCGCGCATCTTCTGGAAAATTCCTCGCAGTCTTGCGAATTGCCGCAGCTACCGTATCCTATCTAGTTTCTACGTTACACAATTGATATGAAGTTCATTATGCTATGTACAGTGTAAACTGAACCTTACAGTTATCTAAGAAATACGCACGTCAACGTGCTTAATACTATTAAAGTAAATTACGCACGTTTTGAGAATTCTTGCGTAAAGCGTCAAGTTTCTATATAATAAGTAGAACGAATACTGTGCCGATTCAGCATAAGGGTGCCTTTAAATTAGACGCTTATAGAAGTGCTATAGTGGCGCCGTGCTACTAATAATTTTCATACAATATTTATAAGCGCACATGCAGCGCTTTTGAAGCCACAATTAGTGAAATTGTCGGTGTAAAGGTAAAACTTACTTAAAAGCCAAATTGACTAATGGAGACAATTAAGATTTTATGTTTTTCGAAATCGAGTTTTATAATGAAGAACAACACTGCGCACTTACAAAATTTTTCTTACCGTAAATATTATTCTCATGAAGCAAAGATTGAACAAAAAAACCCTTTTTGATCAAAATGGGACGTAGTGAGTTTTACCTTTTAACCACCGAAATAAACATTACTGAAGCACCACTGACGCACGCCTGTTGCGACACTGCGGCGCTTACATAAGCGTCTAATTTAAAGGCGCCTTAATAGCGTAAAATATAGTAAATAATTAAGATACCGGCTGCAAATCTGGTTTCGGTCCAACTATTTCATAAGCTTCATCTAACAGTGAACAAATAAGTTTAATGTTATCATCGTTCAGTTTCCTGCTCGACGCCAATCTTATCGAAGGCTCCGGACATTTGTATTCAACATCTCTCAAATAAGCCGCCACTGTCATAGCGACGCCTTTATCTAAGCAATATGTGGTTATGTCCCGGAGGTACGTGTGTTTCAGGCGGTCAGTCAGGTCTTCTTTTTTCAGGTACACGTGCTTGACGGGTGATATTTCATCGCCGCGGAATCTGAAGTACTTGAGTTGCGACAGGGCTCTGAAAAGGAGTGGTTTTTAGGATCTCGTGAAAGAATACAATTTACATTTGACCCTTGGCCATGTTGCGGAATTTAAATAAAGTGAAATGATTTATTTTTCTGAAAACACACCTATAGGTGCATAAGTAATTTGTAATACACACGGTAATGTATAATCGGTCATCTCAACATTAACATGTAACTACTATAGTCGTCACAATGTAAGAGGATTGACAGCTAAGAAATACGATAGTATGTAAGTGTGAATACAATAATAATAATAATAATAATAA